AATTCACATGCTTGGAGATTCTAATTATTGTTTTTTTAATAATTAAGGTGAATGTGGTAAGTATCTGTTATCCATAATTAACATAAAATATTTATAGGAATCTTATTATGTACAATTCACATGCTTGGAGATTCTAATTATTGTTTTTTTAATAATTAAGGTGAATGTGGTAAGTATCTGTTATCCATAATTAACATAAAATATTTATAGGAATCTTATTATGTACAATTCACATGCTTGGAGATTCTAATTATTGTTTTTTTAATAATTGAGGTGAATGTGGTAAGTGTCTATCCTGTTACTAAAGCGTAGGAGGGAGTATGGGTAAAGGGTAAAATTGAAACCTACAAGGATCCACCCATTGGTTATGGAAGATTGAAATCAGGAGTTTTTAGATTCGGTTCTGGTTCGTATAATGCTGGAACCGGGAATCGGAACCGAAACTAAGGTCCGAATACCCAGATAGGAATCGAGACTAAATTATAATTTTTGTAAACTATTGAGGGTGTATTTGTAATTTTTTTGGGGGGTGTATTTATCATTTAAAAAAATGAGGTAATTGAAATTTACCTGGGTACCCAGAACCGAAACCGGAACCTATCTTTTAGTTTCCAGTCCCAGGTTTCTAGGAACCGGCACTGACCAGTTTGAGTTCTAATTTTAAATCTTAGGAACCCGCAGTTCCAATTCCTTCAAAAATTGTAAAGTACCTAGAACCGATCATCCTTGACTAAAGGGCTTCAACCCCTAAGTATAGTTTAGGCCAATGACTAAAGGGTTTATCATTCGAACTCAAACACAAAATCTCTGAATATAATATTATAGTTTATCCCAATCACTAAAAGGTTTACCATCCAACCACACAAGGAAAGGTTGCCCTAATTACCGTTAGGTCACTTGGTACTCGAGTGTGATTAAAAATTAGAAGTATAAGATTAAAATTATTCATAACCATACAAAACTTTTATATGATATGATATGCAATCACATCGATTTAATGATTGATAAATTTCATTAGTGGGATATTAAATACTTATATGTGAACCTCCCAATAAAGAATCGCTTTGGTTTCATTTGGTTGAGGGATTGGAAAGTATAAATTGGCGGCTATGAGTTTCTTCAGATCTTTTAGTAATGAACCCAAAGGTGTGGATGGAGACGCCTTCGACGACAATATTTCATTGGAAAAAATCGAAAGAGAATAATAAAATCTTTTCAATTTTATTTAATCCGATATTTTACTAAACATAAAATATATGATAATGTTAAATTGAATTAAATTTCATCCAATCTAATAACAAATAACTAGTCTAGTCAACAACTACCATTGTAACCGGATGGTAAGACTTCACTCATTTAGGTAGATTACCCAAAGGTTTTATGTTCCATTAGATTTGTAGTATGATGTTCAATAGATCCCCACCTGGACACGCCAATTAAAAAAAAAAAATCCCAACTCTAATATCTAACGCTATGTTTGGTACACTTTTTTTTAACATGATTTGTAAAATCCTATTCTAAATACATTTTAGGATAGAATTCTGATAATATGTTTGATACATTATTGTAAAACATTTTTTGAAAATATTTACATTACTTTTTAACCTTCTACAATAGTTAATTTGGCCAAACACCCTCCCATAATAAAAGTTTATAAACTAACAAAAACACTCTCACCCAGCCAATCGACTTCCGGCAACCAGCCACCACCGCCAGACAGTGGCCGTCCGTTGCAAGAATGATGCATAACCAATTGGATATGGTCGATCGTGTACCAATCTTGCCTTTTCTAGCCATATCCATTGTAGATTTGACCGAAAAAGGCAAGATCTACAACCAAAAACTGCCCTTCGTCAACAGTTAGATCTCTGATTGTAGATCTAGCCAACAATGGCAAGATCGACACACGATCAGCTAGATTCAGCTGGTCGTGTGTCATTCTGGCAGTGGCAGTGGCAGTGGCGACGGAGGTGGCTACTAGCGAGTGATAGTGGCTTGGGTCAATGTGGGTGTTTTTGTTAATTTATAAATTTTTATTGTGAAAGGTGATTGTTAAATGTTTTAAGTTAAATATAATATGATTGAATTTTGATGAATATCAAAATAAACACATTTTTTTATTTTTTATGATATGATAGTGGAATAAGATAGGGTGAGAAAAGTGTGAACGTAACCCAAGATAGTGTTCCTTATCTGGGTCAATGGTATAAAATGTTTAAATCCACTTCACATCGAAAATAGTATTCCTTATCCAGGTTTAAAATGTTTAAGGTCGTTTCATATCCAAAATAAAAAATACTAAAGGTACAAAGATTCTTACAAAGAGTCTTGTATAAAGTGATGTGATCACCAATTTTCACGTCACCTGCCCTCTCTCTTTAGTCTTTTCTCTTTCTTTTCCTACGCTTCTTCTTCTCCCTCAATCTTCTCTCCGTTTTGTAGATATAAGAAAATAAAATCCTATTATTTTTCTTTTTCCTTTATCATTGATTTTCTAAATTTTTTCTCTCCACTCTTTTATCTCCTCTGTCTTCTTTCTCTCCCGTCTCTTCTTCCTCTCCTTCTATTTCTTTTTCCTTTTTCCCTTTTTTTATTTCCCCTTATATTTTCTCATGGAAAATTCCCTCTCTAAATTGTTTCTACATTTTGGTTCACATTTTCTCAGAAAATTTCATCTCTAAACAAACAAGGTAGAAAAGCTGAGTGTAGAGATGGAAGAGAAAATATGATCCCCAAGATCCAAATCGGTTCACTAGGCCTGAAAGGAACTCTCCCACCGCACCTTAGTAACTTAACTTCACTGACTATACTTGAGGTGATGAAGAACGAACAGATTGTCCTTATCCTCTTCAAGAAGTGCTTTTTAATAACAACAGTTTTTCATATTTCCCCCGAATTTCTTTTTTGGGTCAACTTCTTTGCAAAGTGTAAGCCTTGATTATAATTCATTTGAGTCTTGAGAGATTCTTGTGGGTTTAACAAGTGCAACGACTTTGCTGAAGTTTTCAGCAAACTTTGCTAATGTTTTAGGGACCATTCCTTAGTTTTTGGAAGATTTATTTCCAGGATTAAAGAGTTTGAATTTGGTTATGAACAAACTTGCTTACTAGCATTATATTGTTTGTTTAGAGATAGAATTTTCTGAGAAAATGTGAAGCATAATGTAGGAAAAATTTAGAAAGAGAATTTTCCATGAGAAAATATAAGGAAAAAAAAAAAAGCAAAAAGAAATAGAAGAAGAGACGGGAGAGAAAGAAGATAGAGGAGGTAAGAATGGTGAGAAAAAAATTTTAAAAATCAATGATAAAGGGAAACAATTTTTTTTTTTTTTTTTTTAAATCTACAAAACAAAGAAAAGATTGAGACAGAGGAAACAGAGAAGGAAAAAAAAAAAAAAAAAGACTAAAGAGAGAGGACAGGTGATGTGGAAACTAGTGATGTGTTACATCACCTTGTATAAAAACTCTTCCTAAGAGTCTTTACATCTAGCATTTCTCAATCAAAGTGTTCATTATCTAGGTATATGGTATAAAATGTTTAAACCCACTTGAGTAAATGGTTTATTGGTTTGGGCTCATTAAATGACCAGAAAAAGAGTTTTGTCACAAGGCTTCTAGTTACTCCCTAATTATTTCTAAACCTTCCACTCTGTGATAAGAGTAAAATTCTGTACACTAATTAATTATACAAATCATTTCCTATATTATTAATATAGCGTTACATGTTTGGCATGTTTTCTACTTTAATATAATATATATATATAATTTAAAATTATTTATCATATTATTAAACATCAATTTATATCAGTGATTTATTTAGGGGGCGTTTGGTTCAGGAATGTTAGATTACTGGGAAGATAGATTACCTTAGAAGATTACTGGGAATCTTTAGAAAAATGTGTTTGGTTAGTTGGTGGGTATGTTATATGAATATGTTTGGTTATGGGGAATAAATTAGTGGGTATGTTATTTAAATTCCTAAATTGTCCCCCTTTTAAATATTAATATAAGATTATTTTTATTATTAATTTTTGAATAATTTCTTTTAAACCCCAATATTTCAGATATAGCTAAAACACCCCCGCTTATATAAAACTTTAATTTATGACGAAATCACCCCCACCTCCTGCTGCCACCGCAAACCACCGCCGAAAATCTCCGAAAGCACCCGTGAGTACCTCACCGTGACGAAGAGGCTTCAATATGGCCGTTTTCGGCCATTTTGATGGCCGAAAACGGCCATATCAGGCCAGATCTGGCCACTAATGGCCAAGGATCTAGCCATTTCCGGCCAGATCTGGCCTGATATGGCCGTTTTCGGCCATCAATATGGCCGAAAACGGCTATATCGATGCCTCCTGGAGCCTCCCACTGAAACTCGTTCTTTTTTAGGGACTCCGGCGAGTTTTCAGCGGCGGTCCGTGGTGGTTGGCCGCTGTTGGCGGTGGTGGTGGTGGTGGTGGTGGCTGAGTGGCAGTGGTCTGTAAATTGTTTTAAGTACAAGGACATTATTGTCAAAAATTTTAGTTAAATAAGGGTAAAATTGAAATAGGATATTAATGTAAATTTATTTTAAAATGAGGGCATTATTGTCCAAAATTTTCATTAATAAGGGATAAAATTGTAACAAAAAATGATAACCCTGGTAATCTCAGAATATCTAAGAAAATGGAGGTAATCAGATTACCTCCAATATTGCCAATAGTAACTACTATTGGTATTTGAAGATTACCAGAATCTTATATTACTTGACAACCAAACGTGGTAATCAAGTAATATAAGATGACATTACTCCAATAATCTGACATTACCGCCAACCAAACGCCCCTTTAAGAAATTTGTTAACTTACATAGGTAGGGTTTATACAGAAATTATGTGGGTGTACAACGAGAAGTTCTGTTACGCTCTATATTGACAGGCCCCATTTATGGATAAAACCCAACCCTAAAAACAAAACCGAGAATAAACGGCGTCGTTAAGTTTATTTCCCTCGCAGAGCCATGTGAAGTGTGAACAACTCATTGCCTGCTCATTCTAGATTCTTCGGCTCAGATGGTACATTTGTATAATCCATGACAGCTAAATTGCCTTGACTCGGCTCAGCTTGTACGACTCGTGTTCTTGAACCCAAAAAGGCACATCCTTACTCTCTCTCAAAGGCATTCCTCGAAACCTAAGCCAATCCATCGACGATTTCAAACTCTATTCAACACACTCGCCGCTCGCATCTTCAACTCTCGAAATTCAGGTTTCCTGCACCTAGAAGGTCGGTTTCATATTCTTCCAAGTTTTTGCCACGTGAAATTTTTGTGCCTTGTATTTTTGTTGATTGAATATGTTTGCAGTTTGTTCATGCAAAGTCTAATCAGAACTGTTTTGATATCTGTAGTCTACGTTAGCATCTTGACTGATAGTTTTGATCGAGTGGATATTGATTTTATCTGATTATTTTATTTTATTTTATTAATTCTAATCGGCGATAGTAATATGTATATGTTATATATATCTGAGAGAGTTGTAATTGTTTGCGATCTGCCACGTTTTGCATCGACGAAACTGTCAAGGAAGTGTGTTTTCAGATTTGAGCAACGTTAGGTTTGACAAACTCCACTGGCAATTCAAAGAGTAAAATATTGAATAAATTAAACAAGTGAAGTTAAAGCACGGTTCTGTGTATTCGCCTACTCCCTTGATTTAAATTTTGGTGAAAGAGGAACGGATGTCGAGGCATGAGATTAGTTGGACAAGATTTTAAACTTTATATATATGTCTCTGGAAAGATAATTATAGAATGTAGTATGTTGGGATATAGAATATTCATTATGATGTTTATGTTCGGTTTGAGTTGCCGGATGGCTTCAACTTTGTCTAGGCTAATCGAATGCCTAGTTGCTCCATAACCTATGTTTGGTGGGAATAAGTGCATCGATCGCAAAATTTCCATTTAAAGAAAATGTAGAGTGTGGCTTTTGTTTTGTTGCAATTTAAGACGAGAAAGAATAACCATTTACTAATGTGGAAATTTTGACATGGCATTTTAAAACCTTTTGTGCTGCTTTGCATCCTCCTTTCCTTTTAAGGTTATTTGTCTGTTGTCATGTTCTATGATTCTGTAATTATGTGCCATGACATATACCGCTTACAGAGTTACAGTTACAATGAGATACATAAATATCGTGTATAATGAAGAAATTTAACTCTGGTCATCACTCATATAGTAAGAAATGAAAACCACTTATTTACTTTCTGGAGTTAATATTTGTGTTGATGCTTATCTCGTGGACTGCCGATTAATTGCTACTGAATCTAAGCGTTAATTGTATGTCTTTTCATGACACATTTTGTTGGGCTGAGTTGCTAAAGATGATTAAGTACACACGTAGTATAGGTTGCAGTGATCTTTGTAGTATTTAGTATGTCATCGAGTGTCTATATCTTTCTACTCGCTGATGGCTGAGCTGGTTGGCTTAAAAACTGCCGGGCAGTAAGTTATCACAGCTGCTCAAATAAATTGGGGCACACAAGTAGCTCTTGGCTGCAAGTGTTTGAGCAGTTTAATATAGGTAGTCCCATACATCTTACAAAAATGAATTCTTTTACTTATAAATCATGGCTTTGAACTTGCACAGGAATTTGTGTCTGAGCTTTATTGGCTGAAATATTATGGCGGATCAGCATCTCAGTGAGGGTCCTAGTACAAGCAATGTTTCTGGGGAAAGTTCGGATTCAATGGTAGAGATCAATATCAAGACATTAGATTCGCAGATTTATAGTTTTCAGGTGGACAAAAATGTAAGTAAAGTCTTTCTTGTTCTTTTTTGGGTTTCATGTCATATTACTATGGTTCCTAATGTAATGGTCTGCTTAAGTTATTGAAATTTACTAGCACATTATGCTTATCTATATATTTTTTTAAAAGAAAAATTGTGTTGCATTGAGCAGTTTTCTTAGTTGTGTCATTCTGAATAATTTCAGATGCCAGTTTCATCATTCAAGGAGAAACTAGCTAATGATATTGGTGTCCCAGTTGGTCAGCAACGACTGATTTTCAGGGGCAAGGTGTTAAAGGATGATCACCCCCTTTCTGAATATCGTATCCTCTAATTTATGTGATTCTAATTTTTTTTCTTTGAAGTTGTCCTTATTTTTGTCATGTTTTCTTATATGTCACCATGTTCTTTTTATTTTAGGTTCTTCCTTTTTTTCTTTTTGATCTTTCTCAATTCTTATATGATTATTTATTCATCTAAGCCCATGCATCTGGTCATGCTGTACTGTGGACCCTTTGACTGTTTTTAGATGTGGAGAATGGGCATACATTGCATTTGGTTGTAAGGCAGCCAACTCAGTCACAGCCTTCATCTGATACAAGCTCTGGGGAGACAAATGGAAATAGTGGTAATCGAGGTATTGATTCGCTGGGTTGCTTCTGCAGTTTCCAGAGCAACAATGATTACTATAAATTGATTAGTTATTGTTTTCTTTTTAAATTGGCAGGCAATGATGTCAATGCTGGTGTCCCTCGTAACCGAGTTGGGCAAATCTCACACAGTGTAGTTCTTGGTACTTTCAATGTTGGGGATCAAGGTGAAGGCATTGTTCCAGACCTATCTCGGGTTCGTTTTTCTTTTTTTTTTTTGGGTATTATTGTTATTTATTTTGTGGGTTTAATCTGTTTTTGTTTGAGTTTTTTAACTGGATAGCTACCCTAAGGAAAAAAGGGTAGGATTATTTTGTTGCTATTGCCAGAAGCATTTACTCGTTTGTTATATTACTTGTAGGTTATTGGGGCTGTTATGAATTCTCTTGGAGTAGGTGGCCAGTCCTCAAATAATGGCAGTAATAATGGCGTACAATTCTCTGGTTTGGTAAGTCATGCATGTCTGTGAAAATTTCCATCATACACACACAATATATATTTTACGATCTCAGTTTATTTATTTGGAGATAGGTACAATTTTTCTTATTCTCTTAATTGGGGGTAGCTGTTGGAGTCATATATATATATATATATATAGTTGTCTTTTCTTTTCATGTTAAATATTCTGGAAATGTAAAGACATGCACAAGAAACTGCTTTATGGATTGTCAGAAACCCCATGTCTTCACATGTATTTTTTCTATGTTTTGCTCTAGTGTAAAGTTCTATAGTGACTTTGTACTTAAACCAAGAATACCTAATTTAGCAGTGTTTGTGGTTCAATGAATGATCTTATTTGCAAATCACTTGTGGCTATCATGTTCGGCTACATTGACTCCTGCTGAAGCCGAGCCAGCTTATCGTCTGTGTGTTTTCTTTAATTCTAAAATATATCTTTCATGGTTCTGACTTTGTCCAATTCACAAATTTTTACAGAAAATTCCTTCAGAAATGAGGGAAATGATCTGTAAAGGGAACTGAGCATACAGCATGTACGAATAGAATTGCTTAAAAGAAAAAAATATCGAATCTTTTATATAAACATGATTTAGGTGCTGCTAAATCATTGTTTTTATTATTTGCAGTCAAATACATTGGGTCAGCCCCCACAAGGAAATGAAACAGATGGGATAAGGGGCAATGTTGGTAATCAAAGCCAATTAGGATCACAATCTGGACAGGCATCTGGTCAACCATTTCTATCATCACCTCAGGTTGTTCAAATTCCCCTGACTGCAGCAGCTGTGCCGATTCCTTCACTTCATACGGTAGGAAAATTATTTGCTTGTTCTTGTTTTACTTGTGATCGGCACTCATTATTTTCTAAATATGCTTTCCATTTTGGGTTTCAGCCAATTCCTGATTCTTTAAATACTCTCTCCGAGTTTATGAACTGCATGGAGCAGACGCTGTCTCAAAATGGTAATGACACAGAAGTTATTATCTTTTTACTTTTGGGCTTGAAAATAACTGCCTGTGATAACCAGCTCTGCAATATGTAGGTTATCAACCGAATACATCTTCAACAAGCGATGAAGGTATACCCAGAGTAGAACTTCCGTCCAATGGACGGGGGTTGCCAACACCTGAAGCGTTGAGCATTATTTTGCGGCATGCTCAGAGGCTTCTCAGTGGTCATACTACTGCAGCACTATCTGTAAATACTTTTTCAAGAACACTTCCATTATCTTTTTCTTTTCTTCACCTTTTATTTCTGTGTGGAATTTTATCTGTGTTTGAAATTCAGTTTTGTTTGTTTCTATGCTTTTATGTTAGTTTAGCCAATAGACTGTTTCTTACAGTTCATTTTGAATGAAGTTGTTCTCTCTCTGAAACTTTTTCACTTTGGTGATTGTATTTTTTACTCATTGCATTCTGTGTTTAAATCTGTTATTTTGATGCTGCTATCTTGGTAGTGTATTTCTTAATAAGTTAGTTGTATCAACTTTCTTTTTACTTTCTCTGATTGTAATAATTTATTGATTTTACTTGTAGTTGTGAATGGTTCAGATTAGGGGAAATGAATGCCTTATTAAGCAATTGTTGTTAGGATACCTGTCTTACTGTAATTAGGATCAAGATTTAATGCAATAGCATATAGTTGGATATGAAGTTCCATAAACATGAATTTATCTTTATCTTTTTCTGTTTTTGGGTCAACTTTACTATCTGATTAAGTGTTATTTATAATCTGCTGCAATTTTGTAGCATATTGCAGGACGCTTGGAACAAGAGGGAGCTTCTTCAGATCCAACTATTAGGGGGCAAATTCAGGCAGAATCTGCACAAGTAGGCCTTGCGATGCAACATTTAGGTTCTCTTCTTTTAGAGCTTGGTCGTGTGATTCTAACACTGCGTATGGGACAATCTCCTGTATGTTATAATCCTCTCTCTGCCTAATCCTCTCTCTGCCTCTGATTCAGTCTGTGAATAAAAAATCTTGACTCTTGTTTTATGCAACTCGCAGGCTGAATCTTCTGTCAATGCTGGACCTGCAGTTTATATATCTCCATCAGGGCCCAATCCTATAATGGTTCAGGTTTGTCAATAAGTGTTTGGTATTATATACCTTGTTACTACATATTGCGTTTGAGGCTAATTGTTGACGGCATATGTGGGTGTCATACTCACACCGGCATGGTTCATATTATTCACACGTAGTAATTGTGTCTTACATTGAGGAAGGCATTAGATGTTTTATGTTTCTTCACAATGTATTTTTTAAACGATGGACTTGAATAGATGCTTTTGGCTGTGGATAAATTATAAGTTCTCCTGTGTCACTGTCTCTTTATTTTGTAGTTTTTAAGTCATGGATCTATCTTTCATGTTTTCCTAACCATGCATGGATTTTGTGTTTTTGTTGCAGCCTTTTCCTCTTCAAACGAGTTCTCTCTTTGGTGGTTCTGCTCCTTCTAATACTCCAAGTCTTGGTCCTGTTGGTGTAGGAAATGCCCCAAGGAACATAAATATTCATATACATGCTGGTAGGTAGAGGTTAGACTTAACCAGCTTTTTTTACTTTTAAGGAATCTGACATTGTCTGTTATCAGGCACCGCATTGGCACCTGTTGTTTCAGCTGTTGGTACTAGGGGAAGTAACGGGGATGGAGTGCAGGGTGAACGCAGCAATAATACTGGTTCTGCTGATTCATCTGGTCCAGTTCCATTGAGGATGTTACCTGTCAGGAACGTCATTGCAGCAGCTGTCCCATCACGTCCTGCTGGCATTGCAATTTCCACTGGAACACAACCTGGTTTAGGATTTTCTGTATCTCCGCAACCTGCAAACTCTGTCTTGCTATCCTCAGTTATTAATGAAGTCAATTCGCAAATTAGAAATTTGGTAGGTAACATGCAAGGAGAAAACCAGGTTTCATCGGGTAGGTCAACATGAAATGCTTTAAATGATTGTTATAATGACAAGTTTTATAATGATTGTATGGTTCTCAATGCTGGTCTTTCTGTTTGCAGGTGAAGTGGAGTCAACTGTGCAGAACGTATCTGGTGGAAACAATACAGGTAATGATGTTGGCAATGAGCAGCCTCATAGCATGCCAGTAAACAGAGTTGGTGAACTTAGTGTTTCCCAGGCTGGGGTGATTCCCGAAAGTGAAGGTCAGAAGGTATGCTTGGTATACAATGTAGGATTCTTATGGAAGTAATTTTGTGTTTACTTCTGACCAATGCTAATAATGATAATAGGTTCAACCTGAATGCCATCAAGTAAGGAATAATGAAGATGCATGGAGTGTCTTGATCACAAAAGATGGACCAACTTGTTCAGCAGAAGGCTCTTCAAGCTCTCTAAATGAAGTGAAGTTGGAAGACACTTCAGAAAATGCTTCTGGATCCAGTGAAAAGCAATGCCTTCCGGAGGGTGCTGAAACTGTCCCACTTGGATTGGGGCTGGGTGGTCTAGAGCGCAAGGTGGTATGACATTTTGTTGCTGGTCTTTATTGGAATATACACTTTGAAAATGCACTTAGGTCCTTATGCAGGATAAGATCCTGAGAAAATCCTCAATACATTTGCAAGCATGTATAGATGTTACTCAAATATGTATTTGGTATTTTCTGTTGGGCTGGATGTTCTTGATTGTGCCAGATGACTGTTTGATTCATTTTCCCGTTCTTTTGGAGACGTATTTTTAGCTGTACACTCCCATATTATGTTGTTTATATCTGTCATGCACTTCTGTTTATAAATGTTCTCCTTCCTAATTTCTTTTCTTAATTGTCCTCTTTGAACTGTGTTCATAATTCTGTGTTTTTGATGTGATCAGAAGCGATTCAAGCCTTCAAAGACGCCGGTCAAGAGTGGTGATGGAGGAACAAGCAGTGCTCCTCTCGATCAGAATACTTCTAGAGCTCTTGGCCAACAGCTTTTGCGATCTCTCGCACCTTCTAGCTCTGGAATGAGTAGGACAGACGCAAATGACCCATCCTCTGGTCAATTACCCCTGGTTGGTAGGATCAAGGAGAGTGGACAGTTAGGAGGGAAAGATACCGATGGCCAACTTGACACATCCAGTACCGATGGCCAACTTGACACATCCAGTGCCATGTCTCAGGTTCTAAGTAGCCCTGAGATTAATGGTTTATTGTCAGGGTTTTCAGAGGAAACTGGGGTTGGTTCTCCAGATGTCTTGAGAAATATGTTGCAACAGCTCACTCAGAGCCCCCAAATCATGAGTACTGTCAATCAAATTGCTCAGCAGATTGATGGCCAGGATCTTGGAAACATGTTTTCAGGATTAGTAGGAGGGCAGGGTGGTGGCATTGATTTGTCAAGGATGGTCCAACAGATGATGCCTGTCGTTTCTCAAGCTCTAGGTCGTGGGTCTGCTGCCCATCAGCCGCTTTCTACTGCTCAGCATGGTGAGAGGTCAACTGGAGTGGACAACTCAGATAATCAAAACTTTGAGGTTTGTATACCCTACTAATGGATAAAATAATAAAAACTCTGCAACATAGGATTTTGTAGCATTTCCTACATTCTTGTACATATTCTATGCATGTATTCGGCCTCAATCATTAATCTTTTGGCTCGTTTTTTTAGTTTCTCTAATTAGTTTTGAAATTAAAGCTGTTTTCCCAATATTGTGATCCTTGTAATTTTTGAGTTGAATGTTATAAGTGTATCCTGAAGAAGAATTACGTATTTTCAATTACTAAGTTTGTGTTTCAACTGCTTCTGTGTCTAGATTGGAATTCAACAAGTGGCGCAGAGGATTGAACACTGTGATCCTCCTGAAGAAGTTTTCCGTGCTGTTGTTGAGAATGCTAGTGTGTTGCAGCAAAATGGAGCTATACCTGGAGACCTTGTGGATGAGTTGTGCAGTGACGAAGGTCTTGCACATGTAAGTATCACACACAATGATTCACTTTAAATTTCATCGTTACTGTGATGTTCTGGAGCTTAACAGTTTTTTTTTTTTTTTTTTTTTTCCTAACTTTGGTCTCATGCAGGAATATATCGAGATCCTACGGCAGGATATACATCAACGGCTTCAGGGTGACTCTTGCCGGGACAAATGCTAAATTATTATTATTTTTTTTTTTTTTGGTTGTTGAAAGGGATAATGGTTTCATTATGTGTTATAGACCGTGTACCTCTTCTGGTACGCGGAAATATTTTGAAAAATTCTTGTACAAAATTAGGTTTGGGGCTTGATTGGCCCGTAAAATATAGCTCATTTGCATATTGAGTATATAACTTTTCACATTTTGTAGCAATTTATTGTTTTTTTTAATATTAATACATTTTATAACATTTGAGTTTGCTTCAAGTAAAATCAAATTTGTTTTGGCAGACATGATCTCTCGTTTCTAGTTACGCTTTAATAGAATAAGATTTGAGTTTGCTCGACTTGCACATAACAAGTTCCTTGTCCTTGTGGGAGCTTCGATTATATAAACTTGTTATTTTGTTCACAGCAGATGAAATCAAGAAGGACAAATTTTTATTAAATGAGATTTAACAAATAAACTTGTTATAATCCTCATTTAATAAAAAGTAAAAAGAAAAAAAATTCAAATAAACTTGTTATAATTGGATATTAAGATTGGGGTATATAGGCATCAGGAAGAAAAAAGTAAATCTAAATCATAACTCAAGCTCAGCTTGTATTTTTACAAGCTCGGGTAAATTATAAGGAGAAACATGTTTCAGGTTCGGTATTTTTATTTGAGCATTAGCGATGTAAGTAGGGTTTGTGTTAGTCTTTTTGAGAAGGAAAGTGTTATACTCACAATCTCTTCTTACAAATTTCTTCTCACAATCTAACGTAACAACTTATAATTGGTCAACTTACAATGGGTCTCACCTAATAAATTATAGTTGACCAATTGCGAACTGTTAAGTTATAATAGTAAGAAAAAATTTGTGAAAATAGGTTGTGGGTGTAGATTACTTTTTCGAGAATTAGTGAAGCATAAACTAATAGAGACCAATGTTTTAAAACCCGACCTGGCCTGGCCGGTTCAACTAGGACCCAGAAGCTTCAACGGGCTAGGTTTATATTTTTCTAATTCACCTAAAACCTTAGGATTTGGGAGGATGATAGGCGAACAATTGACGGTTGGGATGCTGGGGGTTTTGAAGAAAAAGTGTCAATGAATGCAATTATAGTGACGAAGTTGATTTCCGGTGAGTAAATCAACCGAAAATCGAACAAAACTGACAACAGCAACAACTGGCTTTTGCCGACGATTAGCGAGGCTAATGGAGGTGGGGTGAGGTGGGTTTTGGTCGGGAGGAATAGGGAAGTAATTTCTGGGTGATGGGAAGGGTTATCGACACCGGCGTCGATGAGATCTGGCTTGAAATGTCGACGTTGGCGTCGGTGAGATCTGGCCGAAATTAAACCTATTTCGGCCAGATCTTGGGAATATTTTAAGGGGAATGGGCTCAAGGGATGATTGAGGTTGCATCTGGGGTGTCGCCGCCGTCAACCAGTTGCCGGCCGATTTGTATTTAGGGTGTGTTTGCTAAATTTTAAATCTATAAGGACTTACTGTGAATTTTTAAAGTTTTTATCAACCAATTAAATCGGTCAACCCGGGACCCGGCAACTTTGCCGGGTTTCACCCCGGGTTGGGTTTTAAAACATTGGTAGAGACTCCGGACACTCAAGTTAAGAAAAAAAAAAGGGGTAAATTACACGGACAATTATGTTAATTAATACCACCAATAACAACAATTATAAAAATCCATTGCCCGCCATTGGATCTCCACCGCCAACAACAATTCGGGCCTAAAGGAACGATTTCATATCACTGTGCCGTTAGTTTTACGGCTAAAGACTTTGGACTCGGTATGGATGAAGCCGACACGAAGCTGAGAAAGGCTGGGGGTCGCCTTTGTTGTATCTGTAACCAGAGAAGGGCTGCTCTGAAGAGACCTAAAACCCTAGAACAGGTAACTTTACTTTTTCTTTCTATCCCCTGTTTGTTTCCCGTTAAAGCTGAGCTATTTTTTTTTTTTTTAAATTTTCTGACCTCAAATTAATGAATTATAATTCAAAAATGAAATTTCAAATTAGTTTGATTGTACTAATTTAGAAAGTGGATTGGGCTGCCTTGTTATGATAATCTTCGTATTACTTTATTGTTGTTATTATTATGATGCAATTACCAGCTTAGTTTTTGGTTTGTAAAGATATGCAGGGAGTGTTTCTATGAGGTTTTTGAGGAGGAGATTCACCAAGTGATTGTAGACAACCAGCTATTCAAGCCCGGTGAGCGTATTGCCATTGGCGCATCTGGTGGAAAAGGTGAATGCTTTTTATTATTATTATTATTTGAAGTATTAAACTCTTTTGAATCATCTGCTGCCCTTTTAACCATCATTCCCGCTTCTGTTTGCTGCAGATTCTACCGTTCTTGCTTATGTACTGTCAGAGCTGAATCGGCGCCACAACTACGGATTGGACCTCTTCCTCTTGTCAGTTGATGAGGGCATTACAGGTTACAGGGATGACTCACTGGAGACTGTCAAAAGAAATGAAATGCAGGTCAGATTTTTTCTTTATCTCATATGAGCAAAACCATATCAGGACCAAGTGCAAAATTTGTCATGTTTTTCTTTCGTCAAAGAATTGTTTCTTCTAATTATGACTTATGAATTTGTAAGAAAAAAATATTCAATAAGATCACTCTATGCTTCTCTTTGTTTTATTACTTTCTTCATGCGTTTATATTATCTCTCACTTTTTTTTTTTTTTTTTCTCTCCCCAGTATGGCCTGCCACTAAAAATTGTTTCTTACAAGGATTTATATGGATGGACAATGGATGAAATAGTGAAGATGATTGGTTTAAAGAATAACTGCACGTTCTGTGGTGTTTTCCGTCGTCAGGTATAGGGATTATATTCTCTAAAATAATATAAACCAGTTTTTTATTTTTCTTATTATTGACAATTCTACCATAGCTGTTGCTTCTAGCAAGTTATAGGCATTATAGATTTTTAGCTGCATTCCCTTCATTGGTTGAGATTGGAATTCTTCAAAACAATCACTATCATTTTGATTTGTAAAATTGGTATATGTTTTCTTTTTTAATCTCTGTGCTTTAGGAGATATTTTTTATGTTGTTTGCTTTAATGTATATGTGGGGGAATGTTCTTGTTAGAGCTCTTTGGCTGCCGCAAAACATTTATAGATTGAAAATTGTAGAAGTTTAGAAAACATCTCCAACCGCAATCTATGGGGGCTAAAATTGATGGTCTTTCTGATTTCCATCTCTTCTAAAGAAATGGACTTGAGGATTTCTTCTCTCTCCTGCTCCTTTCAGATGATACAGCTAAAAAGGATTTTATCAAACAACAGAGAATTTACTGAATCATAGTATTCTGATTTCTGAGACAAATGCAAAACTACTCACTTTATTTCTGTCTTAAGGAGTCTTTGTCTTAGGACTAGGTACCAGCTGTACATGTAGTTAACCACTTCTGGCAGTTTTCTAGTCATCTTAGGGTTAGGATAGAATGACTTGATTAATTGGTCAATGTTTTATAGGCCCTCGATCGAGGTGCTTCTTTGCTGAAAGTGGACAAGCTTGCTACTGGACATAATGCAGATGATATTGCAGAAACAGTTCTCTTGAACATCTTACGAGGTGATATTGCTAGGTAACAAATTGTTTAATGAGGTTATCTTTCAGTTTTATCCTTTCCTTTTCATGGAACTAAGTTCAGGCTGTGTTTGTGTAGATTGAGTAGATGTACATCAATAACAACTGGTGAAGATGGACCAATTCCAAGATGCAAACCTTTTAAGTACACGTATGAGAAGGAGATTGTAATATATCCTTCTTGTTGGAATGCTTGGTTTTTGTGGACTTATTTGATTTGCATATATTGACATGTACTATTTACTGCAATAGCTGTGAATCCTTAACTAGATGTTCACGTATGCTTATTTCAAGAGGCTAGACTACTTCTCTACCGAATGTAATTGTTCATTTCTTATTCCCATTTAATATTTTTTTCCCTGTAACCTTTAATCTACAAATTTTGTTGTTTTACTGGTCCTTTATCTCTTTAAAGTTCTGTTATTGTAATTGCAGGCATATATTCTCCAAATGCTTATCGTGGTTTTGCTCGTGAGTTCATTAAAGATTTGGAGAGAATAAGGTGATTCAGTTGACACAAAGTGAAGCAAATTTGTTTGAATTTTTTCCAAATAAACCTCGTATAAGCTATATTAAATGTTACCACTTTTTAATGGATTCTGAATGCAGGCCCAGGGCCATACTTGACATCATTAAATCAGGAGAGAATTTCAGAATAGCCACTTCAACAAAAATGCCAGAGCAGGGTACCTGTGAACGCTGTGGCTACATTTCTAGCCAGGTAAGCCTTCTATCTGTATGAAGATTTTGAACAAGCAAATGATACAGCACAATGAATGATTAAGTACACTGATTAATTAAAGCATTTCTAGCAATACAACCATGTTTCTGATTATATGCACAAGGTTTCTGTGACCATAATTCTTATCATTGCATTTCTGCTTAATGCACAGAAATGGTGTAAAGCTTGCGTCCTGCTGGAGGGACTGAATCGAGGTTTGCCTAAGTTGGGCATAGGACGGAATAAAGGCCTCAATAATGATCGTAAAAAGGACTCGAAACAAACTAGCGGAACAAAGAGTATAGAGAGCAAACAGTGTGGAACATTGGATTTCTGATGGCAAACATATGCGTCACCGCCTATAATGCCATTACTAATTGCACGGAATTGGTTTACCAGGACAAGGAAGAGCAATAACATTAAGGAAATGAACTAGCGAGTTAGAGAAATTCACTTAAATATTCTTTTGCTGAGTTGAATGACAGCAGCAGCAGTAAACAAAATATATGTAAACGAGATTTGTCTTGGACGAAGCTGAGAGGAATTCACATAGAGAAGCAGCCTCTCAAACAATTTCTCAGCAGCATTGCCAGTTAAATAACAGACTTAACAGTATTTATAAATTATATAGACGATTCTTGTTGCATAATCAATGTAATCTTATGGATGTTTGGCTGCTATTTTTTGGATTGCAATTTACACAACTGTCAAATTTTTATTTCTCACGTTTGGATTATATAATGTTTTATTATAGGAAAATATTATATTAATAGAAAGAAATATCACCTTGAAGATTATTGGGAATGTTTAGAAAATGTGTTTGGTTGGTTCGAATAAATTGGTGGATAATATGTTTGGTTGGAAGGATAAATGGATGAGAATGTTAGATAGATTATTAAATTACTATCCTTTTTAAATATTAATATA